CCTTACGTCCAATACCCGGAGGATTCAAGGAAATCAAAGTTCTGTCTGCGGGCATTATTGTTTCTTTTACTTGTGTCATAAATTCCACGAACCGTCACCCCATGCTTTATCGGTGTTCCAATCTAATCTGATCGAAAACGATCGTTTAGTCCATGCTTGGGCCCATCACCATTTTCCTTGTTTGTCTTTTGAAGATGGCGAAACATGTTTAGGATTTATGAATGACAATATGTTAGAGTTAATGGATTTAAGTTGAATTAATTAAAGTTTAAAAAAATAAATACCACGAGATCTTTTTTATCCAATCCAAAGCCCTTTTTCCAGTTTCCCGCCTATAAAAAGCGCAGTCACTTGTCTTTGGCCAGTCATTTGCAACATGGCAACCGAACCTATCATTGTTGTCCAAATCTTGGAAGTGGATGACAGGCCTATTAAAGTATTTACCTGCAATGGCAAAACTGTCATCATTACACCAGAGGACACCTACCTTTTAGAAGAGTCGGCGATGAACGAGACACCGCGACGGAGGAGATTCGATCCAGAGCTGTTAGCCAGAATCCGTCAAAGGCGACACATTTAGTTACGTGATACGTCTCAGCCAATCAGCGTCTGGTACCTATAATCACTCGCTTACTACTTACTATGCAACTACTACTAGATTTCAAAGCAGGTTTGACGGCCTTTTGTAGAATGTTTTTTAATCCACCCTTGACGGTTTCTTTGACACGGTCGACTTTCAGCACTTCCTTTCCAACTTGGGGAGGTTATCTTTTACAGCTTGTTTCCAGCACTCCATAAATCAGCAAGTGATGTGGGAGAAAGACACGACCGACCAACAAGCCGTTGAAACCGGTGCCGATGATGCTGTCGTACCCGTCGTAAACGAAGCGTTGGGAGCCAGAAGAAAAAGAATGGGTGAAAGTTCAGTGTTTGAAATTCAATGCCGGCTGCACATGAATTTGTGTTTACAAGATCGTTTTTTAGTGAACGGGGTCGACGTTCGCATCCAATTGGAAAGACAGCAACCAAAATGGTGATGTGGTGGGTGAATATTTCACCCATTTTACACATCAACAAGCCACGACTCCCTATTTAGATTTGATTTGAAAAGATTGTGAATATTAAATACTAAGGAAGATTTGCATTTGTCTTACAACGACTATATTAAAGGCTACACACTCTTTGGATTTGATTTGACTATTGACCACGGAACTGATCTAGCCAATTTTCATCCCAATTCGTCAGGAAGTTTGTCTTTGGAATTGAGATTCGAAAATCCTCCATAAAATCCACTCGATTTGCTATT